CTTTTTTTTCCTTTTTTTTTTCTTTTATTATCTTTTTTTTTGCTGTTTTCCCTTTAATTTTTAATGGTGTTTTGCAAAAAAAAAACCCCTTTGGGGGTAAAAAAACCGTCAAATCCCGCCGCCACTAAACCCCCCCCCCCCCCGAGCTGACCCCCGGGCAGTAGCAAATTCCCGGGGGTGGGGACTCTTGAGCTGTCAAATGCCCCGGGGTGGGGACGAAAAAAGAGGGCAAATGCCCCATCCTCCGTCAACACTGCAACATTTTTCATTGATCGCACAGTCGAATAATGCCGTTTTAAGCATTTTAATGTGCGTTTTTTCGTTTCAATTAACGTCTTCCCTTGTAATAGCGCTAGGATTCAGACTTGGGTTTTAGTATTGATATAAAATTATTGACATTAAAATTAATAGAGCGCTGTAACGCTATATGTTATGAATAGTTAGATAAATATGAAAGGATGTTCTTGAAATAATATCAACAGAAATTTGATTCAATAACCAAAACACGTTGATTCACATCGAAAGCTCTGGTTTCCGCTATGTAATTCTGGCTTGAAAAGCAATGAAGGAATGTACGCATAAAATCGAGAACATGCCTTTACAACCCTCTTCAATTTATTCCTGTCCTTGACAGGTGAACCAATCTGCTTTCTTTCCAGTAAAACCTTCTGTGTAGTTATATTCTGATAGGAAACTGCGTGCGTGTCAAAAGGTCGCTAATGGCCCTGGGGTTGGCAAATGCCCGGCCCCCTTCGCAGTTGGAATTGACTGATGCATTATAATAAACATAAAAAACAACAAACTATGTATGTATGTGTAATATAACTGACGTACACGAACGGAACGGAGTGATATTCTTTGCTTAGTTACATTTAGTGATACATTAAACGAGAAGATATAAAACAAGGGCAGCACTACTTAGTTATTTTGAAAGACTCAGGTTCAGTGTTGGTCAGGCAGAGAATCGAACCTGCGCCTAATACAAGCAAATCTGGTAAATTCAACAAGTTTGTTGTAAAGATGACTAAGAAGACAAAAAGTTCAAACCACTGGTTAGTCTAAGGAATGGAAGGCTGGGTGGTAAAATGATTTTAAAAATGTTCATAATTCTAGCTTTATGGAAGAGCACTAAAATATAGATTAGTGCGTAATAAACAATCCAGAATAGAAAGATCCTCCAACTGGAAATACCCTCCACAAAAAATATTTAGCTCGTAAGCAGAAAGAGAAGAACAGGAGTTAGAAGTTTTCTAGAACTTGAAACTAATTTTTCATTGGCCTCCACGAGCACGAGTAATATATAGATTTAGCCAGGGCTAAAAGCGAGGCTTCCATTAATAAATTTATAATTTAAATCAAACAATAAACTTGTATTCCACATTATTCAGTTAACGTTAGAGCACATTCGTGTGACTTTTCAGGGAAAGGCTAAGTGATTTTACAAAATATAATTTGCAAACAGCCCAAGAGTGAACCAAATCTCACATCGAGTTGATAGCCTCATAAGTACACCCAAAATCTGGCAATCATCTTCGATCACATTTATTAAGAGCCATAATGGCTCTTGATCACCGTAGATTAATTAGGCCTGGAAAAAAATTCCGGCCGAATTTTTTGCGTTCGACAAGTTTATTTTACAAAACCTTGCCAACAAATCTGGGTGCGTGTAAACCAACCTTTTATATCATTTATACATCACATCTGAGGTGAAACAGTACTATGAGGCACTGTTTTTATCATACAGACCTCGGACAACAGAATGCAGTATTTCACAATATTGCGATACAAATTGCTATTCAGGACGATCGAAGCACGCGTGGGCTTTAGCCGTAAACCGTTGAAAAAATTTTCAAAATCATCTATACGGCCAGCCGGTTCTGACTTTTACAGTGCTAGCAGTGGCGAGTGTTTGAATAAACATTAACAGAGTTACGCTCCAACATAATAAAGAATTTATTATGTTTATTTTTATTTTAAAACGGTTTAACGCGCGGCATTTTGAGTACTCCGGGAAGCGTGTTAGAGAGGTTAAGATCGGGTACCAATACCGATACCAATACCTGAAGTAGGTTACGCGCATGCGTCGTCAGCCTGTGACATCTCTATCGGTAGTCAAGACTACGGAAGTCGCCTCCATATTGGAAGTCTCCACCCCCGACTACAGGTCTTCTTGCTAAAGGTTAGATGGAATGCCGTTTTGTTTAAAACACAGCATACATTTATTCTGTAAATATTTTAATCGATATAACGCTTCTGAATCGATAAGAGCGAGTTCATTTTAACACGATATTTAAGGTAAATTCGTCGGTTCATACAGTGTAGATCGTTTGTTGGTCTAAGTTGTGTTTGATTTTTGTGTTCAGAAATGTCAAGCGTAACAAGTTTTGAGAGAGACAGCACACCGTAAGTTGAATAAAAATCACATTATGGATTAGATTTGATTTAAACAAATACGCGTTGTACATTTGATATGTTAATAAAGGTGCTTGCCAAAATTGACGTTCAAAACACGTGGTGTTAAAAATCTTGTCTTGTACACGATTATGGTTCTTTTGATTTATCCAACAATTCAAACGCCAGCAGAGTTTCTTCTTCATCTAAAATGTCGTCTTCATAAGCTTCAAGGACTAGAGCTTCTTCTAACGAGATGTCGGCGAACGCCATGTTTTACCGGTATCCGTCCTCAACACCTTATAACTTCATTTATGCACGACGGAAACGACTACGGCTGTGTAAGATATTGGTACTGGTATCGGTATTGGTGCCCGATCTTAACCTCGCTGTTGTTTACTGAACGACTGAAAACAATCGGCACAACGATTAAAATTACAAGAGAGAGTACTAACAATCAATAAAAGAAATATAATTCGGTGAAACATATTTACAGAGAGGACAATTTTCATTCAGGAAGACAAGTATTAAAGTGTCTCTAAAAATCCTGAGTCTTCGAGCTTAAAGCTGAAGTTTATGTTTTAAGCCGGCTTCCCGGTGTTTGCTTTTTTCAAAGACGAACTCGAAGCAAGAAAATCGCTCAAACCTTTCTTTTACAGCCAGAATTATAACTAAATATTCTTTGAAACGTTTTCTTTCTATTTGCGGTGAGAAAATGTCTAAAGGCTTTTTAAAGATCTGTAAGCTTATAACAAACCTGATACTAGGTCAGATCATTGTCTCAAATCTTACAAACGTGCGTAAACAAAATAGCCGTATAAACTACGCTCGACTTCGTTAAATTAGGAATAAAAAACAAACATCAAATACAATAATTACTTAGGCTTACCACTCGAGATGCAGCTCCTGAAAGGTATCAAGTGAGGCCAGTATCGCTTCAGACTTTGCAACCCTCTTACGCATTAAGCAAGATGAAAACGAAATTAGAACGATGCCATCCGAAATCGGATTTCCGATTTTGACTCAACCAAAAACCCAATAAACAAACTAGCCATGAATAACAGAAGACTCCTGATAGCAGCTGAATTTCATTTTGTACATCCAGTGGAAAAAGAAAGTTAAAAACATCACAAGTTGACACAAAACTCTGTCAGCTTGAGCTGTCAAAGTAAACAAGATTCAAGATGCTGCATAAATTTTCCGCATGAACTCACCCGTCAAATTTTGACCAATCAGAGCATAAAAATTGGACGTAGAGCGTGACCAACGCGTGAACATGACGAGAAAAGTCAAAAGCAACTGTCTTCCCTGCCTGTAGCAGCTGGCTGAATTTTCGCGTCCGAGGTCAGTTTGAAATCAAAATTTTAATTGTGCGGCACATAAACACAACATATTTCATATAAATTTTAAAAAAATTAAACTTGAGCCTGCGATCATTTGAAAACCAGCACCTTGGCAGCGGATAACTTCAAAAAAAACACTTGACCTCGATGGGTCGACACCTGAGCTCGCGATACAGTCAAGTGATACTGGTCAGCGGATACCTTATTTTGACAGCTGTCAATGGATCAGTTTTCCTGTGCTCCGATCCCAAACTAGCTAGAAAGTA